CAGTGGATTCTCAATGTTCTTGGCTTGCGGTATTTGGGATATCACAGCCGAAGTCTTTGGAGCTCAGCATTCCGTTGGTCTACTCGTATCGGCATTCGTAGCGTCTATGAGTGACTGCCTTTCTAATTTAGTATTCTGGCCCTACGCCGGGTCCTTCAGTTCCCACCCAGGTTACGTTGCTGCCCTCGCCACTGGTGAGAGCCTCTCCAGTGCTGCTAGTGCTGCTGTTGTCGCCATACAGAGCGCCTGTGGCTTTGGTCCAACCGTGTATTTCGCCATTATTGGTAGTATTGTTATGTGCTGTATCGCCTCCTTCTTCCTCCTCCATTTCGGCTACAGTGGCAAGGCCTTGCACGATTTCGTTCGTGAGGGTCCGACTTCTGATAGCCCTACAGCCTCAGTAGCATCCCATAAGGAGCACGGCCTATTCTCACGAAAGAGCAAGCGGTTCCTCGCATCCTACATCCTCATCGCGTGGCTCTCCTTCGTTCAGAATGCTTTGACTCCCACGTTTCTCCCCTTTGCTGGTAGGGCCTACCCTGCTGGTTATCGCCTGGCTCAAAACGTCCTCTTCGCGTTCGCCCCTGTAGCCTCTATGGGAGCTGCTTGGCTCCTAGGTGCGCATTATCGTAAGAATTGCCTCGTTACAAGTGCTGAAGTAGGAGCAGTATTAATGTGGAATATAGAAGTGTAGGGTCTGGTTCAAGGTTGGAATATATGTCTGTTTTCTTCAACTGAGCGTCGGAGTTTCCTCACTAATTAAAGGATTTTATATACGAACTAGGGTAGAAATATATGGAAACCAAGCGGAATTTCCCAAAATTTCCTCAGAATTTTCGTATCGTCACCACATATGGGGTTGACCATGTGCATATTTTCCTCACACACTGAGGACCCCATTGATGATGTTGTTTACCAATATGGTAGTGCAGTAATGGTAGGTTCATAACCCTATACTTATCCTACGCTCCTCCAGAGGATCTGCCTCTAGCTGGGAAGTCTTCTGGTACGGCATTTTTCACCGTCATCACTGTTCTCGGTGGAGGCACCATTGCCTTCACAAAAGCCGCCATAATGCTCCGCCTCAAGCC